GACTAAGAAACACTCATGAGATATGGGCTAAAGAAGAATATCAAGTTTCTAAGGTGTACCTTTTATTTAAAAAAACAAAACAAAAACAACACAAAACATTATGAATGAGTTTAAGATGGGCAAATAGGTACAGGTAGTCTAACAGTAATAGATATAGTTGAACGTTTTGGTCCTTAAGGCTGAAAATGCTACTACTGTTCATACCTTCTCATGTGGTAAGTAGCAAGCTTGCAGCAGTCTATTTATACTAAGGTTTGAGTTTTTTACCTGCTCTGGCCTCACACCTGTTAAAAGCATTAAATAGTTGAAAAACTGGTATGTTCTTGGGATGGCTGTTTCATATGGGTCTATTTCATTAGAGGAAAAAGTAATCTCACATTAAAATCATAGGCGTTCCTAGAGGAAATAGTGGCTAAATATCCATATACTTCTAGCTCAAGCATAATTAGAAAGTACATGAGAAATAAACATGCTTTGGGGAAAATAGTTAATTCTCCAGTTCTCCGCTTCGTGTTGTCCATTGCCCCACCCACCCAGGAAAAAAAAAAAAAAAAAAAAAGAAAAAAGAATATGAATGCTTCAGAGAAAAGTAATTGCACTTTATTGCAATTCCTAATTTTGAAGTGATAAGGCAGTGGCTGCTGGTACAGGGTACTCAATTAGATTGATGGTCTGATATAGTACAACAATTACTGTAATTCAATTTGGAGCTTGTTTTGGGTAATACGTTATGTAGCAGAATAGTTAAAGCCGGGATAGCTGCTGGTATTAGTAAGACTGAGCTCTCACATCTTGAAACATAGGTAGCTGACTGACTTAGATTTTGGTGTTAAATGTCCTTGTGCGGAAATGTGTTTTTCTGAAAGATATTTACAGTCAAACTTGTAGTTGAGCATGTTAACTGTTAGCATGGGGGAAAAAAAAAACCCAACAGTGATACTGCAGAGAACCTTTCAGTATGCATAGTGTTTAGAGCAGAATCCAGAATAGGGTCATATTTTACTTGATGTCTAAAACAGTGGCAGCGAATAACTGCATTATGTATTACAAATTTAACTAAAGGGTCTAGGTCAAATCGTGATTCTGTTGATGCATTTATTGTGATTCTGATGCTGAATTGTTCTGCAGAGTCATGCAGAATGAAAATACAAGCACTTAGGTCTATTTCAAGGTAATAAAGATTTGAATGTTAGTCCAAATAGCTGTGTAGCTGCATTTTGTGTATTCCCATGCTGTTTGTTTGCAATAAGTAAAGTTGGGGGTAGTAGGTAAAGGGTGAAGTTGAGGGTAATGCTGCTTCTTATTTTCTAGAAAATATTATTTGTGCTTAAGATCTGAAAATTTTGTACTTGCTAACAGAGTTCTGATTTTTATTACAGTAATGTTTAAGAAATGTTATTAACTTGTCTTACGTGAAAAGTCTGTTCGAACAAAAAGAGTTCATTATTACAGTTATAAAAGCATATTTTCTGTGCATTTCTGTTGGAAGAAAAGAGCAGAATTAGATGTTGCAGAAAGCCTAATAGGAGGGGGAAAGAAACCAGCTAGAACTTCAGCTAGGTGGGACTGGCAGAGGAAAAAAATCTGTGCTGTTTATATACTGTTTAACATCACAGTTTTGGCATAAAATTTTAAAATTCCTGTTGTAGAGTCCAGTTTTCACTCTTCATTTAGAGCTGTATGAATTTTAAATACTTGTACATCTGTTACTTTTTTCCTTTTGCTTTTACTTTCTCCTCTTGGAATCAGAGATTGATACCAAGACAAATTTCCCTCATTCTATAGAGTTGTCATGAACAGTTTCCTGTTTCTGACAAAGCTTGTAAAGTGTCCTTTTAAAAAACAATTTTATTTCTTTTTTTTGTCACTTAAATCTGACTTGAAAGTACGTTTGACAGGATTTTTTTTTTTGTCATTATTCATTTTAAGAGGAGGACCGGGGTGGTAGGTGTATTTTATGTTGGTTCTAGTTTCTTTTCACAGTTTGTGAGTGCAAGAATTGTCTCCTGGTAGGCTGCACCTTAGAACAATCTGAATAATTTTAGCTTTCAAGCCACTCTTTATCATTTAATGTATTAAGTAAACTTCCTTACCTTATCCTTTCTTGAGTTGTTGCTACCATATTGTGATTCCCTTTTCTGCATTTTTTTTTCCCCTTTTTCAAAAGGGAGGAATCAGGACTAAGGTGAATTTCTGTTACACGCTCTTTTCATTTGTGACTTCTACGGTAATGCTAATAGTCACACATACAGATTGGCACTGGAACAGGCTTCCTAGAGAGGTCGTCGATGCCCCAAGCGTGTCAGTGTTTAAGAGGCATTTGGACAATGCCCTTAATAACGTGCTTTAACTTTTGGTGAGCCCTGAAGTGGTCAGGCAGTTGGACTAGATGATCGTTGTAGGCCCCTTCCAACTGAAATATTCTATTAATATTGTTAAAAGATTATTATTGTCTTCTGATGGAGAAGAAAGTACTTCACCTGGAGAAAGCTTACTTAATAGCGTATTTTTAATAGATTATTTAAGTTCCACCATTTCCTTCTTTATAGAAGGAGAAAAAGGGAAAGAAATAAGTCCAAATAAAACCTGTAATAAAAGAAGAGGGTTTTTCCCTAGTAGATTTTACAGTGAAATGAAGCTTACTTTTTTATTTTTAGAAGTTTCTTGTGTGTGCTTTAGTCTTATATAGGAAAAAGAGAGCCAAATGTTGACTGTGTATGGTTCATGAAATAGTTCTATGAACTTTCTGGAACGGACAAGTGTTTAGATGGCCAGTGTCACCTTTTTTTTTTTTAAGCATACAGCTCACTTAGTATTGTTGAATCAGTTTGTCAATGAGCTGGTTGTGAATGCTGTTTAGTAGCGAACAATGATTATTCAGACAAATGCTGTGCAGAAGCATCACAAAACTACTGCATAACTTGGCATAAATAGCAGTTTCACTCAAATGGACTTAAATGAGGAGAGACTATAGTGTGGGTGTAAGGTATATATTAAGATGAGATCTTTAATAGGTATGATCAAGAATAATACAAATAGATCCCCTTTTCAAAACATTTGCTTTAAAAACTGCACAAGGAATTGAGCCTACTTAGTTTCTGCTAAAATAAAAACGTGAACACATGGCTTATGACAAATCATGAGACGTATGACTCAAGATGTCAGCTAGCTGTAGTTTTGGAATGTGTCAAAACCAATTTGCATCATTTACTTCAGATTTTGTGCATTTGTGAGCATGTGTAAAACTGAAGGGTCTTGAGCAGGATAAAATTACAACTGTATTGCATATCTAGTTCTAATATTTGTGGTTAAACCAAAAAATGACTAATTATTAATCTTTGAGAGACAAGTTCAGATTCTGCAGACGTGAAGTCTGATTTCAGATAGAATTATACAAAGGGCAGTGTTTGTTAAGTTTTTGCGCTCCTTTTGATAGGAGCAAACAAGAACAAAAGCTAAGGAAATGAATGGATCAGGGCTGTTAATGGCAGAAACTGTACAAAGCTTTGTCACTACATATGGCTATTGTGATATTTTAGGGCTCTCAAGCATGTATTTTGACTGTGATTCCTTCTTTAGGTAGAAAAAAAGCACGTTTTATTTGCATGTTACTGATAAGAAAAATCGGAATAGCAAATTCTGAATTCAGTGAATTATTTTTTGCCAGTCTTCTAACAGGGTGGCTATCTGATGACAATAAATTTAGTCATTTAAAATTAAATGATCTGTACAATCAACTGTCATTTATTAAAAAAAAAAATTCATTTCTAATATTTTTTAAAGAAAAGTCTTTTTTTTAACTTGTGTGAATTTTGTAAGTCATTTAACTTTTAGGCAGTCAAATTCAGACAGCTTGCAAGGCCTTCTACAAATAATTAATATATAATTCAAGAAGGAAAGCCCCACTTCCTGGAAACAGCTAAACATTTGCCTGCTGATAGGAAGTAGTGAATGAATTCCTTATTTTGCTTTGCTTGTCGTGCAGCTTTTGCTTTACCTATTAAACTGTCGTTATTTCAACCCACAAGTTTTCGCTCTTTTACGCTTCTGATTTTCTCCCCCATCCCGCTGGGCGGGGAGTTGGCGAGCGGCTGTGTGGGGCTGAGCTGCCAGCTGGGGTTAAACCACAACAGGAGCAAAAGAGAAAAATTCCTCCTTCACTAGAAGGTTTCGTTGTTAGTGGTGGGAATTACTGGTGTAAGCAAGCCTTTTCCAGAGCCTCGGTTTCAGGTATCAGCACTCTTTATGTTAACAAACTGCTAGAATACATGAAGAAATTACAGTGTGTCAGCAAGATAGCAGCATATTTGATGAAGAATGAGGTGTGTTCCTGTTAATTGGATGTAATGCAGAAGCATCATTCTGCCTAAAATGTCAGTCACCGCCTTCTCTAGTTGCAGAATAACAAAATACCACAAGCTTTTACTGCAGTACTTTTTTCTTCTGTAAAGTAAAACTGTGAAGACATATTTCAGGCTGTATGAAGTATAAAACTACTACACGA